ATAAAATCCCCCACCAGATCACGCTGCCACTGCTCTGACAAGAAAACCATGTCTGGAGTGTGACCACTGTCCCGAGTCAGCCACAGATGACCATGGCTGCCATGAACTCCTGGGCTGCCTCCAAGGCCAACCCCAGGGACGGCAGATTAAAGTCCCCCAAGACCATAAGTCTGGGGAACTCCACTGCCAACCCCGAGATGACCTCCAGTAGCTTGGGCAGGGAGGATGCTATGCAGCAGGGAGGCTGGTACAGTAGCAACACTCCCAACTGATCCCGTGTGCCCAACCTCAAGAACAGGGTCTCACATCCAGCAACTTGTGGAGCAGAGCCCCTGAAGGCCAGCAGAGATTCCCTGATGACCACTGCCACACCCCCTTCCCTGCCCTGGGTTCTCGGCTAGTGCCAAACCCTAAACCCAGCTGGACACAATTCTGAAAGGGCAACACCCCCTTTTGGTGTCAGCCAGGTCTTGGTAATGCATGTCAGGTCGGCCTGCTCCTCCCCAGTAAGGTTGTGAATAAGGGGGGCCTTATTATTGACTGACCTGGCATTCATCAGCAGTAGCTGAAAGCCCGGGCCTCTGTAGGGCTGCTGACCAGGGTCTGGGCTTGAGCCCCGAGGGCCAGAACACGCCACCAGTATAATCCATCAGGGGCGTCTTCCCCTGAAATGGCCTGCCCTCTGGCTCCTGTCATACTACCCCATGCCCATCACCACCTGAATACCCGCCCTGAACCGCCCAAGGTGCTCCTCCCCCCACCCTCCAACTTAAGGGGCCCACCATACCATACACCATACAGGGAAGAGGGGAAAAAGGGGGTGGGGAAACGAGCCCCTGTGGCACTTCAGCTAACTGCTCTCAGCGCCAACAGGGACTCAATCACCCCAATTCCCCTTTCTCAAACACTCACCGTCTCTCCACCGACTTCTCTGACTGGCCAGAGAGTGGAGGCCACATTCACTCCTACCCTCTCCCCGTCTCCCACCCGGGCAGAGAGTAGCACATCTCACAAGCACACACCATCCACCCACACACCCCACAACCACTCGAGTCCCCCCAGCCTCTTCTCTAGGGGTAGGGGAAGCCCCTTGCCACGTAGGGGCTAGAATCCACAACCCCCAAGGTCCCAATGTCTCTGTGGGCTTCAGGTACTGTGGGCCCTTGGGCTCTGGCCTCCGCTCTACCGTTGGGTCTGCCTCAGCCTTGCCCTCATCGCCATTGTCCCACTGCTGTCGCCGGTGCTCCCACCACCAGTGCTACTACCACCAAAACCAGCACCTTTGGGCTGGGGCCCCAGCTCCGCCGACATTCCCGGCCCAGCTGGATCGGCTCCGGCATCACTCCCCTCGAGCCCAGGCATCGTTCTCGGCTTGAATGGCGCAGCCACGGCAGCCGCCACCAGCATTCTCCTGCTGCCAGTGCTGCAGCCGTCGCAGACTCCATCGACCCCCTGGGTCCAAGCGCCACCCGCTGCCACACTCGCCCCCGTTGCCCACATCCTCTCCTCTCCATTCTCAGCGTCCGAGAATATGATAAAGAAATGACCAGTAGGCTAAGGTGGCTTCTTAAATATAGGTTTGCCTTTTGGATAAGTAAAGTACTTGAAACAAGAGCAAATCATTACTTCTCAAGATAGCCTAAGGTACAGGTTTAAGGAATCCTGCTAGTGGTAATAAGGCAGGTTCCCCCTGCAAAAAACAATCACTAAAAGTGCTGTTCATTATTATAACCAGTAGCTGTGGGTCATGAACTGCACCCCATGGTATGAGATAGCATCTCTCTCTTGTAATTTCAGAATTTCCATAGTCCTTAGTTGTCCAACTAATTAATGATACTAACCAGCTAGATGGTGGATGTGTTAGTTAATGAGAGAGAGAGGAAAGTGCCTAAGGATCTTCCATTAACTTTAGTTTCCACACACAAATATTTTGTCCTACCCCATACAATCTTCCTTGCTCCTAGTTTTCTGTACCATTGAACAGCAGACAGGGAGGAAGGGAGAAATTCAGGGCCTTGGCCTCCTAATGAAGGTCTCCGAGGCCACATACAGGCTGCAGACTATTAACCGGTGTCCTTGGCAGTTCCGTTTGCTGGAGAAATAAAGAGTATTCTAAATTTGGGCTGCCTGTTGCTGTTGAATCACTTGCCGCATTTGACTTTCAGCGTTTGCAGATTTGTAGCAGTTATAAAAACTTCTGTGGACCTTAGAAAGGACACAGTAGCAAAACAGCTGAAAAAGCCTAAATATGCCACACAAGTGTTTGGAAAGTACAATGTGGTATTTTTCGTTTGGCAGACTGTGTCACTCAGTGTCCAGGAGTGGCTGGTAAATCTGGAAAACAATTTCCAAGTTTCCTTCCAAGTCCAGCCTTGAAGATGTGGACCGGGGTTATATTTTCTCTGTTGCTTTCTTTGTGTGTGTCTGATCAAGGGACTTCCATTTTAAAAGAGAGTGGTGCTGAGGTGACACACATGTATCTACTCAGTAACGAAAAGCATTGTGAACAAGCTTGTAAAGGCTCAACAGATTCAGGTCAGTCTACCATGCTTCATCCTAAATGTTTTCTTTGGAGATGTAATGTTCTCACCACGTTCCCATTATTGTAATTATGGTTTCTATAAATGGTAGCTAAATGATTTTACTGCTTTAGTTGGATTGGAAACAAAGCATCAGTTTCCCATGACTTGGCTTTTACAAGGGCTCAAATATAGAGCAGCCTTCGTGCATCCCGCTAGCTTAAACACTTGTGTTGCATTGCTTAACCCACTCTCTGTTTCAAACTTTGGTAAAGGTTCACATTCCTTTGTCTCCCTGTTACCATATTTGTCATTCTTTGGGGCCTGCCAAGCACTTAAAATCAAAATTGATCTTGGGTTCAAAAGTGATTCTATCTAGTTTCATGTAAAATGAGGATGTTCTAGAGTTAAGTCAGCCCTGACAGAGATGAAGCTTCTTTTTTGCTTTCTAAAAAGTCTTTAGGAAGGTGTTGACACACTGCTAATTCCATGTCCACTGCTGTGATTCAGCCCAGTAGCCCACAGAGAGGCAATTGTCCCCTCACAGACTTACAGCAATTTCTCCAGTCACTCTTCATACCTTTAATTCTGTTCTCTTCAAGTTCAACTGCCCGCAACTTATTTGCTTTTTCCATCTTAAGACATGTCCTTCTGCAGACAGTTGTTTAGTCTTAGTTAGCCCAATATTACCTATTTCCACCACATTTTTCTAGTTGCAGAGTAAAAGATACTAGGAACATTTGCACAAAACAAATGCTCCAGCGCCATATTTTGATCCATGGCTGAAGTGCAGAACTGACATATCCTTTTGGCTATATTTTCTGTGTATCTCTCTCTCTTCAGTTAGACAGTTAGGGGGACATTAAACAGCTATTCAGTGCCAAATTCCTTGCATTGTTTAACATGGATGGCTTACAGAAACTTTTTAACCAGCATTGCAGTGGACCTTTTCCTGAATAGCATTTGCTTATAAACAAGCATTATAGAACAATCTTGATCCCGAGGAAGGAGTTTAGTGGATAAATACAGTGTGATGTAAACTATTTGTGGGAGCTCCATTTTAATTCCAGTTCCAGGTGATTGCAGAACAAAAAAAGGCCACAACAAGATTCTGGGGTGGAAACAAAAGAAAAACTGAAACAGAAATGGATGGTGTTCATTTAACTTTGCTAAAGTATACTGTAAATAAATCCTTGTTTCAGTAATTCAGCCCTCCCTACCCTGGGTTTTGACCTCCAGTTCCCATCATCCCCAACACTGCCCATGCTGACTAGGTAGTTAGGAACTGTACCTCAAAGCATCTTGGAGGGCCTAGGTTGGCTGTTATTTGTTTTCTCCACAGTATTTGGTTTACTGCAAATGAAAGGCACGATGTGCTTTCTTTATGATTCTCCAGATAATCCTTACTGCTGGTCAGTGCTGTATCAGAGCCACTGTGTCCTTCTCCGCTGTCCTCAGCTGAGTGCATGTCAGAATACCAGCAGACAAGATATTAAAGAGCTAATGGGAGGTAAGGTGGACTTAGCAGAAGATTTTTGGCTTTAAAAATAATTTAAAAAGGAGTAGTTCGCAAGACAGTATTCTCTTACATTTACCATTCATATGTTTTTGGAATTTAAAAGTAGCTCCAGCAGATCGCTGCATACTTTGACAGAAGTGTAATAGTCCCTGCACATTGTGATCATAGGCTGTTTGGTGAGTTGATGTTAAAAATGTATCTCCATCCCAGCTTTCTAGACAGAATAATTGATTGAGCTGGTTTTAAGATAAAACATATACAGTCAAGTATAATTAGATAATAAAGCCAATGAAAACAACTGGAATGGAAGGAAGTGGGGAATATCTTGGAAAAGAAGATCTACTAAAACAATAGCTTCAAGTGTCTGTTTACATTAGGCAATAGCAGAATTGTCTGGGCAGAGAATTCCATAATTTGCGTTCCATATTTAA